AGGTGTCCCAGCACCATTTGTTGAAGATACTATTCTTTTTCCATTAAATGGTCTTGACACCAACACTCTTGTCAAAAACCAATTGACTGTAAATGTGCAGGTTTATTTCTCAACTTTCAGTGACATTCCATTGATCTATATGTCTAGCTTTATCCCAATACCACACTATAGCTTTGTAGTAAGCTTTTAAATCTAGAAGTGTGAGTCTTCCAATTTTGTTCTTCTTTTTCAAGACTGTTTGGACTATTCTGGGTTCCTTGCACTTCTATATGAACTTAGGATCAGCTTGTCAATTTCTGCACAAAAAAAAATCTGTATTTTGATACAGTTTACATTTAATATATAGATCAGTTTGGGGAGTAGTACCATCCTTTTTCTTTTCTTTTCTTTTAAGATTTTAATGGGGAATTTGGGGAGGGGAACAGTGTGTTGGGGAATTGGGGAAGGGGAACAGCCAAGTTGTTGCCCTTCAATCTTAGTTATGGAGGGCGCAGCTAGCTCAGCTTCATGTCCAGTTGCCACCCGGACGCCCATCAGCAGCTCGTGACCACTCAGCTCAAGGTGCCGTGTTCAATCTCAGTTGCGGGTGGGAATAGCCCACCATCCCGTGCATGAGTCGAACTGGAAACCTTGTTGCCAGGAGCATGTGCTCTCACCAGCTGAGCCATCCCGACACCTGTTGGCAGCTCAGCGGTGGCTCAGCTTGGGCGCAGCTCACTGGCCCATATGGGAATCAAACCAGCAACCCTGTTGCTTAGAGCTTGCACTCTCAACTACCTGAGCCACTCGGCTGGCCCAGTACCATCTTAATAATGCTAAATCTTCTGATCCATTAACATGGGATGTCTTGCAATTTATTTGGGTCTTTAATTTCTTTCAGTGATTTTTTTTTTTTTTTTAGTTTTCCTTGTACGGTCTTGGCTTCTTTTATTAAACTCATTTCTAAGTCTTTTATTATTTTTGGTGGTATTGTAAATGGAATTCTTTTCTTAATTTCATTTTCAGATCATTCATTGCTCATGCATAGAAAAACAATTGAGTTTTGTATATTTACTTGTACTCTGCAACCTTGTTGAATTACTTTTTCTTTCTTTTTTCTTTTTTTATTTGCTGAATTACTTTATTAGTTCCAATAGCTTTTTTTTTTTAAGAATTTTATTGGGGAATTGGGGGGATGGGAACAGTGCTGGGGGATTGGGGAAGGGGAACAGACAAGTTGCTGTCGTTTTGTTCTTCAATCTAATTGTGGAGGACGTTGCTTCACTTGCCCAAGTTGGCACCATCATTGCGCTCTTCCCTGGAGAGGCAGATCAGTCACCAGCTTCTGGACGGGCCACTCACTGCGGCTGCTGGCCACTCACGCTGGCTGCTGGCTACACACAGTAGCCCATGGCAACCCACTGCCACAGGGACTGCAGCCTACGCCGTAGCCAGCGACTCCTGGCAGCCCAGCTCCAGGTTGAGCTGTTGTTCAGCATCTTAGCTGTAGAGGGCAGTGTCACTGGCCCTCATATGTGGGATCCCAACCGGGGCCCTCTGGCATCCCAAGCGAGTTCTTAACCATCGCGCCACTCGGCCGGCCCTCCAATAGCTTTTTAATGGGTTCCTTAGGATTTTTCCACATACAAGATCATCATCTGCAAATAAAGGCCGTTTTCCTGCTTCCTTTCCAATATGGGTGCCTTTTATTTATTTTTCTTGCCTACTTAGCCTGGCTAGAACCTCCAGTCCAGTGTTGAATAGAAATGGTGACAGCAGACATCTTTGTCTTGTTCCTGACCTTAGGGGGACATCATCTAATCTTTCACCATTAAGTATCATTCTCTGTGGCATTTTTGAAGATGCCCTTTATCAGGTTGAGGAAGTTCTACTCTATTCCTAGTTTGTTGAGTGTTTTTATCATGAAAGAGCATTGGATTTGGTCAAGTCCTTTTTCTGCATCTGTTGAGATGATCATGTGGTTTTTTGTCCTTTATTCTGCTAAAATGATTTTTTTTTAATGTTGAGTCAACCAACCTTGCTTGCATTCTTGGGATAAATTCCACTTGGTCATGGTGTATAATCCTTTTGATATGTTGCTGGATTTGGTTTGCTAGTATTTTGTTGAAGATTTTTGCATCTATGTTCATCAGGGATATTGATCTATAGTTTTCTCTTCTTGTGATGTCTTTATCTGGTTTGGGCATCAGGATAATACTGGCTTCAAGAATGTTAGAATGGCCTCATAGAGTATTCCTTCCTCTTCTATATTTAAGTAAAGTTTGTGAAAGATTGGTGTTAATCCTTCTCTAAATATTTGGTAGAATTCACCAGTGAAACCATATGGTCTTGGGCTTTTCGATGTGGGAAGTTTTTGTTGTTGTTGTTGATTTTTTTTTAACTAATGCAATTTCTTTACTTGTTACAGGTTCATTCAGATTTTCTGTTTATTCTTGATTCAGTTTTTGTAGTTTTTGTCTTTCTAGGAATTTGCCCATTTTTTTCTAGGATATCTAATTTGTTGGCATGCAATTGTTCATCATACTGTTTTATCATCTTTTCTATTTGTAAGGTTGGTTATGTGTTCCCTCTTCCATCCATGATTTTAGTAATTTGAGTCTTCTCTCTTTTCATCTTGGTCAATCAATTTAAAGGTTTGTCAACTTTGTTGATATTTCAAACTAACTTGTGGTTTTGTTGATTCTATTGATTTTCTATTCTGTTTCATTTATTCCTAGCCTAATCTTTATTATTTCTTCTGCTAACTTCTAGTTTAATTTACTTTTATTTTCCAGTTTCTTAAGTGAAAGATGAGATTAGTAATTTGAGATCTTTCTCTCTCTCCTTTTAAAACATAGGGTGGGTCTGGCTGAGTGGCGCGTTGGTTAAGAGCTGGCTTGGGACACCAGCTCTGAGCAGCAGGGCCCCGGTTTGGATCCCACTTGAGGGCCAGTGACGCTGCCCTCTACAGCCAAGATGGGGAACAACAGCTCGACCTGGAGCTGGGCTGCCGTGAGTGGACGGCGACAGCATAGGCTGAAGTGAAGCTGCAGTGGGCTGCCATAAGCTACCTTGTGTGGCCGGCAGCCAGCGTGAGTGGCCAGCAGCTAGTGTGAGCTGCCAAGAGCCGCCATGAGTGGCTGTCCAGAGGCCAGCGACCGATCTGCCTCACCCGGGAAGAGCACAATGATAATACCAACAAAGACGAGTGAAGCAACGTCCTCCACAACTAGACTGAAGAACAAAAGGACAGCAACTTGTCTGTTCACCTTCCCCAGATTCCCCAGTGCTGTTCCCCTCCCTCAATTCCCCAATAAAAATCTTAAAAAAAAATAGGGTGATTACAGTTATACATTTTCCTCTACTTTAGCTGCAGCCTATAAATTTTGGTATGTTGTATTTCATTTCATTCATCTCAAAGTATTTTCTAATCTCCCTCATGATATATTCTTTGATAGCGGTTTTACACATGTTAAATGGTTAAGAAACACATAAACACTACTGTAAAATGACACCACATTGGGACAACTTCAAGTTTTCAAAACAAAAGTTATAGCAGAGTGGAGTGTACAAGGTGGCTACAAGGCACCTCCCATCACACCCTAAAACTTGCTCACTTTCCCTCATCCAGTCCATTAGCATGTTCTCCAAAATGTACCTCCAATCCATCCACTCACCTCCACCTCCACGACCAGGGCCCTAATCTAAGCCATCATACTTTTTAGTCCAGGAGAACTGTAATAGACTCCCAAGTTCTTTCTCTTTCTTATCTCCTACAATATGTTCTCCACATGGTGAGCTTTTAAAATCACAAATCACAAATTGAATTACATCTCCCCACTGCTTAAAACCCTCCAGTGGCTTCCCAATTAGATGAGGACCCTTCCCCATGGCTTATGAGATCGCAAATTGAATGAACCCCTTCAACCTCTGACTCACCACCTTGCACCCACACCTGCCCTCCCCATTCCCTCTGCTCCAGCCATGCCCAAGGACCTGGCTTTAGGTTTCTTCAACAGGAGTTTCCACTTCAGGGATTTTGAATTCCTGAAATTTTCTTCCCTTCTTCCTCATTATTCCAACCTTGGTGCAAATGTCCTACTCATAGTTGAACCTACCACCTGGAGGTGAGGGGAGGGAAAAGAGTTGGCAAACATTTTCTGTGGGGCCAGATATAAATATTTTTGGCTCTGCTTATGCCATTCAGTCTTAGTGCAGTTACTAAACTCTCCACTACTCAACTCAGTTCCTGTAGTGTGAAAGCAGACTTCCACCGCCCTTAAAGGAAAGGGACAGGCTGCGTTCCAATAAAACTTTATTTACAAACACAGGAAGGCAGAATTTGGCCACAGTTTACCAATCCTTGAAAGAGCTGAAAATACTGGATTCAAGCAAATAAAATAAAGTTTCGTGTGTTTTTACACGTCACAAAAAGTTTTTTATTTTTAAAAAATAACCATTTAAGTAAAAAACATTTTTAAAGTCTCAGCTTGTGGGCCATGAAAAACAGGCAGCGGGACCCGGAACTAGCCCGCGGGTCAGAGTTTGCTGACTCGGGACCTACATTATGCCTGGACGTCCCTTGAACGTCTATGGAATAAACGAAGGCCCCAGGTTTCCAAAACTCGACCTTCCGGGCGCCGCACCACCAGCCCCAGGCCTCGGAGCGCCTCCCGCTCGTCAACCCTCCAAGCCTCGCGCGCCTCCCGCCAAGCCCCGCCCTCCATCGCTGCGATTGGTCGGGCCTCGCCCTCTTCCTCGCCGGGGAACGCCCTCTCTGACAGGCACTATGAATAGCCAATGAGATGCCCCAGAGCCTTGTACCCCGCCCTCATCGCGCCCGTTGGAGGCGGGCATGGGCGGGCAGTTAAGGGGGTGGGGCGTAGAGCCTGGTAACCGTTGCCGGTAACAACGCCCCGCCCCGTCGCGGCCGGCGGGCGGCGCGAGGCGGGCAGCGGGAGCGCGAGGAGGAGCGGCCGCTGCCGCCACCGCCGCCGCCATAGAGACTGTAGCCGTGGAGACTGTTACTTACCAACGGGGACCAACACGCAGCAGCCGCCGCCGCCTCGGGAGCCGCTGCCCGAACTCCCGGCCCGAACTCCAGGTGACCGATGCGACTGCCCGGGGCCCTGCCCGGCCGGGGATTGCGGGGGGCGGCGGGGACCCCAGACGGGAGGTCGGGGGGTGAGCAGCACAGCCCCCGCCGTTCATTCCTGAACGTCCGGGACAGCGCGCCCGCGGGACCTGCCTTCGCACCCCCAGTCCCGCTGTCGCGGCTGAGTTTGGGGGCTCCCTGAGACCCTTCCCTCCTTTTAACCAAACTTGGGGAGAGGCAGGGACCCGTCGTCTCACTTTTTATAAAACTTCCTGGTTAGGGGTGCCCGGGGACCCCCTCTCACTCTTATCCCGGAATTAGGGGTGCTCCGGTAACCCTTCTCAAGCTTACCTTTAAACTCCCTGAATTGGGGACGCCTGTGGACCCCTCTTCTCCCATTTACTCCCCAAATCTCTGAAATTGGGGCTCCCCTGGGACCCTTCTCTCACTCTTAACCTCAAAAACTTCTAATTGGGAGGGCCTCGAAGACTCTTCTCACCTTTAGCCCAAATTCCTGGATTTGGGGTGTCCCGGGGACCCTCTTCTCGTTTTGACCCCCAAACTACTAAATTGAGGACACCCCTGGAACTTATTTCTCACTCTGTAAAAGTCAGTGCGCTTGTCTTGGGGAGAACCCCTCCCCCTTCTCACTCTTCACCACAAACTCCCCGAAAATCCGGCTTCCTGGGGACCCATTTTTCCCCTTCTCCCCCCAAGTCCTTGCGTTTATAGTTCCTCCGACACTCTCCCCCACCTATCTCCCTCTTAACTCCACATTCCTGAGTTTGGGGGACCCTGGTCTGCCAGTCCTTACACCCCCCCCCCCCAGGAAGCCCCTTGCACCCCGCAGCTTCCGTATTTGGACTGATCGCCTAGAGAGAAAAGTTTCACTAAAAGGTTTTTTTGTTTTTTGGTTTTTTTTATTTTGTTAGAGAGCCCAACTTGTGGCCCAAACTCCTTGGTGGTATTTTCTCCTGCGGTTGTGCGAGTGCGTGTGTGTGTTTGTACATCCAAACCCCACCCCCTTAAATACTCCACCAACACCCCACCTGCCGCTCCCCACCCCACCCCACCCCACCCCCGCTCAAAAAAAAAAAAAAAGCACTTTATTCTTTTCCTTTTCACTCTGGCAGAAGCCTTGGCGCTTCCTCCCGGCTCCATCCTTGTGGGTTTTTCTTGCTGCTGCGCTAGAAAAGTTGGGTTTCCAGATCCTAGTGGCTATTTCAAGGGCCTCCGGGGGTGAGCTGCTCCTGTCATTCGGGCGCTGGCGGCGGTGCTGGTTCATCGTCCTAATTTTAACCTCCTGGTTGCCCCGCAGGAATGAGGGACAGGGCAGGATGCAGCGCAGGAGTCCAGGGCTGTGCTCCCCCATAGACCTCATTCCTGCTTCTGCGTGTTTTTATTACGACCTCCTCCAATTATTTCCTGCTTTGTGCAATAAACTGTCAGTGCTGACTTTCATGAGGCTTTTCCCCTCCCAATCAGCTTTATCTCTGTGAAACCAAAATATCAAATCTATACGACTCAGTTTCAACTGACTTCCCCAACAAAATAATAATAATAAACACAAAACATTAACAAAACAGTTTTTTTATGACCACATATTATCAACAATGTTTTTATCTTTTTGCTTAATGCTCTGAAATATGTTTGCTTCTATAAAGACCCTTATCCTCTGCCCTGGGGCGTGGGGGGGGGGTGTTGGTTACCCATTCAAGTTTAAAGACTTGAGCTCAATGTAAAATAATGTTAGAAATGGCTGCTCACCTGCTCTGACCAGAGAAATTAGTGTATATGGTAAACCCTCCCCAGAAAAGGAATTTAATTTTCTTAATGACCAGTGTTTCTTCTCCCTGAGGCTTGATAAAATATGGGAGGGGCTTGGTAGTTTTTAATAAAAAGACTTTCCATAATATAGAATGGAAATGTTAACTGGTTCTGCGATCCTGTGATATTCCAGCTGATTTGGGTTGGGAGTAAGTTCAGAAATAGTTTGCCCCTGCAGGAAAAGCAATACTGAATTATTTGGCCCTTCGGTGCATTCCTCTCTTGTCCCAGATAAACCCATGAGACGCTCAAAAGGGGAATCAGGAGGACAGGGACAGAGTTATTAATTACCCACAAGTAACAGAGGCAGTGCTTTGCAATTCAATTGGTATTTGCTTTCTAGGTGAAGAGCACATATTACCTTAAAATTTATCTTTCAACCACGTGTATCACAGAAGTGCTGCTGGCATGGAGCCATTTATCAGAAATGGAGATGCTGGGAAATTATCTGGCTCTTATTCCTTAGATATAATTTATAGTTTCAGATTTGAGTTATAATTAATGTTAATCAATATTTAATTAATTTCACTTGAATATTATAATTGAGTCAACGTTTTCGATGTTCTTGTGGGATTTTTATAGTCACGTGTGGTTGTTTTGCTCATAAAATTCCAGGGCCTGAATGAGCCATATCTTGTAATATACTTGGCTTTTTTTAATTAACTCCAGGTTGACCACTTATTTAAAAAATGATCCCCTTGTACACACCTACTTATTTGTAAAATGTGAAACTATTTGAAAAGCAAGGGAAGTTCTCAGAGAAACTGTCTCCTCACTGTGGGGACTCTCATAAACCTGGGGACAGGGACGTACAAGCTCTTATCCAGTGTCTGAAAGGCCAGAGCACAGCCAGCACAAAACATCCGTATCTCGGTGCTGAACTATGTGCATATATTCCCACTAAATGGGGTAGATGAGGACCATCGCCAACCTCATGCCAGTGCAGGTCAGGTTTTGTCGCCAAGTGAATCCATGCCAAATTTACCAAAAATTTTTCAGAACTTTTTAGATTTTGGCATTGTTATAAGGAATTGTGGACTTAAGTTATAAAAAAGGGCGTTTTGACCCTCTTTCTGGAATGTAAATGGCAATTAGCTCTACGATAGGCCACGTTCTCTTAGACATTTGCCTGGCACAGAGTGTGTACTTAATTTGTCCAATGAATGAATGAATGAATGAATGAATTATACATTGGGAATTAGAGCGAAAACGGAAAAATACCAAACACTTCTTGTAAACTCCAAGATCAGCAAAGTAATTCCAAGAGGGAGAACTTTAGGAAAGGAAGATGCGGAATCCAGGGGTGGGGTATGGGATAAGGAGTGGGTGAAGTCTGGAGTGAATTCGTGCCCGGAAAGCTTGGACTGGCTAAGATGACGTGTGAGGAGACAGGATTCTAAGCGCTCCCTGGCAGAAAAGTCTGGCCAGCTGCCTACTAGACACATCCAGGTGGATTCTGACAGGCAATTTAAATGCGAGGTGGCCAAGCTGAGCTCAGGATAGTCCCCCCAAATCTGCTCTTCCCAGGCTCTCCCCTCCCTTAGTAAGTATCAGCTGCTTTTTCCCCACTGCTCAGGTCAAAACTTTGGCATTGTCCTCTACGCCTTTCTCTCAAGTCACCAGCAAATCCCGCCCACTCACATTTGGTGGTGACCTAGAATCTGACCACGCCTGGCCACTTCCACTGCCAGCCCCCTGCTCCAAGCTACCATCACCTGTTGCCCAGATGATTCCAGCCTGTTAACCTGGGGGGTGAGATTGTTGTCTTTTTCTCAGCTCAGAACCCTCCCATGGCTCCCATCTCACTTGGAGCAAAAGCCAAAGCCTCCTCCCACCCCCACCCCAATATATCTCTGGCCTCAGCTCCAACCACAAAGTTCCCCAAACCCTCTGCCCTGAAAGTGCTTGGCCCAGGCATTTGAGGGGCTGTTCTCTCACTGCCTTCAGGCCTTTTCTCAAATGTCCCCTTCCCAGACCACCACTCAAAAGTGATGTACTCTTAGCCTCCTTCCCTGCTTTCTTGGTCTCCTTAGCCTTTATCACTACCTAACGGGCCATATATTATGTTTATTATCACTGTCCCCTCTTTGAATGTCAGCTCGGAGATGGGAAGAAGTTCTGCGTGTTTTATTAACTTCTATATCCCTGGAACCAAGAATAATTCTGGCACTGAGTAGGCCCTCGATAAATATTTGTTAAGTGAATCAATAAATGGTTTCCTGCACAGCTATGGGAAAACACATGTAGAAATTAAGAGTTGCTCCTGTGTGGCACATACCGCCGTCTGTGTGACTCCAATCAGCTCAGATCCGATGAACGGGGCAGAGGGAAGAGTAAAGGAAAACTTGCACGTCATAGTACTGGGTGCTACAGATGGGGGCTTTGAGGCCTGGCAGAGGAGGTTAATGTGTGGCATCTCCATCTCTGTTTATCAGCTCAGTGACTCCAGGTAAGGTTTGACATCTGTGAAATAGATAATCGAGCCTGTATGGTTGCAATATTAGAAATAATATCTATAAACAGTTTAGCATAGGGCCCGGCACATAATAGGTGCTCAGCAAAGAGTGATTATTATTATTACTATTAAGTAAATAAGCAGAAGTGGCCTGGGATTATTTATTTTTTATTTTGGTTTCCTGCCCAGTACCAGATGCTGAGGAGACATTGAGTGAACATGTCATGCTTGATTGGGCGGGTGAACCTTACACCGTCTGTTTTAGGGTGGGAAATGCCCTTCAATTAGGATAGAAATTTACTGGTACAACTATGTCACCCTGCAAGCATAAGTGCTTGGCAAAAAAAACAAAATAACTCACTTGCAATTCCACATCTTGGTTGTGGTATAGATGCTTCTGAAATTACTCCCCAAACGTGACACTTTTGGGTTGGTTTTGCCCAGCAGGCAGAACTTCCAGGTGAGAACATTTAAAAACTAATTTCTCTTCTCTGTTATCATGCCAACTGGTCAAAGTCTGGAAATCAGCCACTTGGAGGTAAGACCTGGCCTGGTCCTCATGCCAGGACTTGAGTTAGGCCCTCAGGGGCAGGCAGCCTGGCCTGGCTCCTAGCTGCACCTCACTTCTTTTTTCCTGAAGTGCATTCTTGTTTGATGATACATAGGTTTTGATTTGTTTCAAAACGCTGTTTTATGCCCTGGCAACTCCTTATTCTTCTTTTTAATT